AATGATGAGAGCAACAGCAAATTCTGGGCAAATTACCCAGCCTCTTATGCAGCTCACTTTCTTTACTTGATGACTAAATATTGTCTTCCTTCACTTAAAGACATCCCTCAAATAATTACCTGCTGCTTCTCTTGAATTACCAATTTTTTGCTCTCTACTGAATGGTTTTCATCAGCATGTGATTTTTTTTTTCTTACCATCTTTACAAACCCTTCTCTCGGCCTTACTCCCTCAGGCTCCTTCTATTTCTTCACTCCCTTTTATAGCAAAACCTTAGCAAATGTGCTGCAGTGTTTCTCCCACCACTGCCTTAGAACTGTAAGAACTTAGACAGTTACAAATTTTCTTCATGTTGCGAAACACAACCTCAATTCTCGGTCCTTATCTTACTTGATCCTACACTCCCTTTGTTTTCCTTCTATCTGGCTTCTATTTCTTCCAAAGCTCTCCTTTGCCAGATCTTCTCCCCCGTCTCTGAATGTTGAGTAGTTAACATTAGGCTTCATTCTTAATGAAAGCCCGGGCTGGGTTCAAACCCACCAGCCCTGGTATATGTGGTGCCCTAGCCACTGAGCTATGGACGCCGATTTCTATTCTTACCTCATCCTACACCTACCTCTTTGTAATCTTAGGAGTCTTAGGGCACTCTCAAGCCATCCATAGTTGCTAACTCTGAAAGTAAAGATAAGAGTATCTTTCAGTAAAGATCTTTCGGTAAAGAAAGATACTTTTATCTTTCAGTAAAGATAAGAGTATTTCCAGCTCAGATCTCTTCCTCAAAGTTCTAAGTCCCTTATACAACTGCCTATTGAACATCTCACTTGACTATCTAATGCAATGCTGCTTTAAGTATGGGTTGGACTGGAATCAATTGTTACCAATCTGCAATGAAGTAAGTGCAAAAATGAGTGTAAAAGCTCAGACATTTCTGTAGAAATTTGTTATTGCCTCATTCAAGCACATCACCGGTGGTCTTGTCTCATTGAACAGGATGTAGACATTTAGATCTATAGATCTAGATGCGTGAGGCATGAAGTGAGTTTTAATCATATCTCGATAATAGGACCAAATATTGACTCCCGATAAATGGGAAATTTAAAAAACTACTTCTTTACCTGAGAGATTTTGAGGAAGACTGGTCTAGTAGACATTGCAAATTCAATATATTCACTAAAAAATGTTATTTAAATAATATTTTACGTTCATTGTATATGCACACTTTTTTTTTTTTTTTTTGAGACAGAGTCTCAGTATGTCACCCTCAGTAGAGAGCTGTGACGTCACAGGTCACTGCAACCTCAAACTCTTGGGCTTAAACAATTCTCTTGCCTCAGCCTCCCAGGTATCTGGGACTACAAGTGCCCACTACAACACCCGGCTATTTTTTTTGTTGCAGTTGTCATTATTGTTTAGCAGGCCCAGGCTGGGTTCAAACCCACGAGCCCTGATGTATGTGGTGCCCTGGCCACTGAGCTATGGCTGCCGAGCCAACACATATTTTTAAAATATAAATAAATTATAAAAAGCTGTTATGGGGAAAACTTTGAATCTACTCATTTATTTATACATATATACAAGTAATATATGAATGAAAACTCATTGTGAACAATGAAACAAATGAAAGATCACTGAGTTAAAAGGTTTGATCCGCTCATCACTGCTGCCTTCTTCACACTGATTCTAATGACCTGCGTAGAGGTAATGCTTTTATGTAGAAAATATTAGTGGGTATAGACATGTGATTTGGGGGTTCTTGTAGTTTTAAATGAATGAGAATGTATCCATTATTCTGCAACCTGATTATTTTTCCACTAAATCATATATGTGAAGATCTTTTCTGGGCAGTTCTTATAGATGTGCCCCCCAAATAGCCATGGCACATAATATAATTTAAAAAATCATTCCCAACTATTTATAATTCTGATTGATTATACATTTTTGTTGTTCTAACACTGCTACAATGAACATTCACTTCTTGACATGTAACTTGCCCATCTATATGAAATGTCTGTAGGATATATTCCTAGAAGAGAAGTGCTAGGTCAAGAGTATGTACATTTAAAATGCTGATACTCTTGAGTTGTCCACCAAAAACTCTATCCTTGCACACCCCAACCAACAATGCATGAATATGACTATTCCACACCCTTATTGATTCTGGATTTTATCAAACCTCTTAACTTTTGCCAACCTCATGAATGAGCATACATTTTTTCTATTGTTTTAATAAGCATTTTAAATTACTCCATTACTTGCCTGTTGATATTCTTTTTACATTTTTCATTGCTTTCTCAACTGATTTGGAGAATAATATACATACAGTCAGATATTGTGGGGTTTTAACCACTTGTCTGATAGATATTGCATTTTTTTTTTTTTTTTGAAACAGAGTCTTATTATGTCACCCTGGGTAGAGTGCTGTGGCATCACAGCTCATAGCAACCTCAAACTCTTGGGCTCAAGTGATCCTCTTACCTCAGCCTCCCAAGTAGCTGGGACTACAGGTACTGGCCACAGTGCCCAGCTATTTGGGGGTTGCAGTTGTCATTGTTTTTATCCTTTTTTTTTTTTTTTTAGAGACAGAGTCTCTGTCACCCTGGGTAGAGTGCCATGGTGTCTCAGCTCACAGCAACCTCCAGCTCTTGGGCTTAGCAATTCTCTTGCCTCAGCCTCTGGAGTAGCAGGGACTACAGGCGCCCACCACAACGCCTGACTATTTTTTTTGTTGCAGTTTGGTGGGGCTGGGTTTGAACCTGCCATCCTCAGTATATGGAGCCGGTGTCCTACTCACTGAGCCACAGGTGCCCCCGCCCAGTTGTCACTGTTGTTTAGCAGGCCCCCAAACTGCCAGTATCCGTGTATGTGGCAGGAGCCCTACTCACTACTCACTGAGCCATGGGCACGAATCCCTAATAGATATTGCAAATATTTTTTCTTGTTCTGCTGTTTGGCTTTGAGAATGTTAACGGTGTTCCAAATTATTCTTAAAAATTAAGTCATACCCTAATTTTAAGTTTTATGACTAAGAAGCACCTTCAAATATCCCTACATTGATCTACACACATCAAGAAATCATGACCATTTGTTTTATTAAATAGCAAGACTTTTTTCTTCTCCTGATGAGTTGGCCTACTAACAGTTAATGATTACCGTGTAATGACATAAGTATAGTTTCATTTAATTATTTCAGGCAAGATAAGACTCGTCCATGAATAATTTTATTTAAAAGGCCTTATCCTAACTCCAAGACACCTCTTGAAATTCAAAAGCTGTTAGCAAGTGTTCTTTGACATTCTTCCATGGTATTGTCCCAAGGAAAATTAAATGGCCTTTTAACACCCTGTATGTATCCTGCAAATTTGAAAGAAAAGTTTCAAATCCTGACAGACCCAGATATTAAGGGTTAGGGCAAAGACAGATAACACTGTTTGAAGTATGAAGGATTACCAATTTGCTGCTACCTTAATTTGAACTGTTTGCTCATTCTTCCCAGTATAAAGTGAAGACATGAGGTACAACACAAGATTAAGGGTGGGTAACACCAGCCTTGCATTCAAACTGCTTGCCTTCAAATTCCTGCTATGCCACTTGCCAGCTTAGTTATTTTGAGCAAAATTTCTGATCATTTTAAGCCCCAGTTTTCTATTTTAAAAATAGCAATAATCATTGCAAAGAAAAAAGTGACTAAAAATACCTAAAGCACTTGGCCTATGATAAGCCCTCAATAAACACAAATCATGTGTTATTATTTATCTAATCCTTACTGGCTGGGGCAAATTATACATATTTACCTTACATCCGTAAGTACTACTGTCCTTTTTAAAATCAAATCTAGATAAATTATATAGGTGGTATGTTTGTAGGAAGAGTTTTTTGTTGTTGTTTGGTAGGGTTTCTTTGTGAATACTGACAATGAGAATAAAAAATTAATGTCACATAAAGTGTGAGTTTGCATTATTACGGTAAAGCTATAATATATCACCATTAATGCTAAGACTTTAGTACCACAAATGAGTTCTGAAGCATAATGCACTGCCTTCGTTAGCTTTTGTTAGCTAGCAGGGAAACAGGTATTATTACCAACAGTATTGCAATTAATAAAATACATTTTAGTAGCCATGAAGATTTTGGGTTCCAGTACATAGTGTTCAAAGCAAACAATAGGTAAAAAATAATACTGTGCATCCGTGGGTGCCTCACATTAGCTGAGTGTGCAGTATCTTCCAGAAACAATTTGCTGCACTCTACACAGCCTAAAGGACTTATGTTTGCTTTGTCGTCTTGTTTCTTGCGTTCTTGACAAAAGACAACCGCTTAGGAAAGTAGGGATGAAACTGAACAGGTAAAGTCACAAGTTTTCTGAGGTAAACGCTCTAAGGTGGTAAAATCCGCAAATTTTCAGAGTTTGCAGTGTTTGCATTCAGGCATCAGCTTCCACCACCTATATGAGATGTTTGCCTTTCCCCAATCTAAGTGGAGAC